CCCCAAAACCCCAAAACCCCAAAACCCCAAAACCCCATTAATGTACAATTAGATAGAATTCATTTATTTAAAAGGAGCAGGTTTTACTGCCTTTACTTTAACTTTACTAGCAGAAGTCTTTGGTTTTATCAAATCTTCATGAATTCTGAAGACATATTCATGCCACTTTCCTCCATCATCAAAGCACAGATCGTGATAGAAAGTGGTCGGAGGCATCTTCAAGTGCTTCTTCCAAGTGATTGTCATTGGGAGCTCGAATTCACCCCATCCATTGATTGTGAACTGTATAAATTAAAATCTCAAATTACTTTGAACGGAGCTTTTGTAACGAATCTGGTAGGGTTTTTAAAAGTTTCATGAAGTTCAAACTTTACTTTCTCTATCAGGTCTGTATCCTTTACTCGAGGGTGGATCACTTCTATGAATGCTGTCCAGATATGCTTGTTCTTGACTGACCTATTCTTGTGATAATTCGTAGGTCTTTCAGCAAGCTTATGTCTATTTCTATAAATCGTACAATTAATTTTAAATTTCAGATTTGTGTCAGGAAAAGATCAGCTCAAAGTGAGCTTACTTACCCATATTTAATCTTTATTTTGAGGATTTTCTTTTCTTCGAGTTTGAGTTTATTAAGGTTTTTGAGTACTTCTTCGTACTCATCAGGGTTGGATTGCTTGGCTTCTTCCCTAGCTTCTTTATCTATCTTCATCACAAAATCTTTTGTTACTAAATCGAAGTTTTAGGTCATAAATTAAGGAAATTTAATTGTGATTAATCTTAGGCAAGATTGATAAGAAAAATAGGTGTTCTCTTTTTCTGTTAGCAAGAGTATGACTTTGTATTGATTTTAAACTATAACTGGCATTTTTTTTATCATTTTTAGAGATTAGGGAAGTTAGATGTGAGAGAGAGTGGGGGATTATTCATGGGAGGTTTTAGTTATTTGAATGAACTTACCTTCAGCTCTGCACATCGGGCAGACTCTTTCTTTTGAAGTCTCAAATGTTCTTTCAATGCATAATTTACAAAAGAGGTGACTTCACTGCAACTTAACCGGTTCACATGACAAAGTCAGGCATATAGCTCACCTATAACCCATTATGAGATGGGAGGAAGTAAAAGAGAGAAGTGGGGTGGGTGACTTACTCGTAGTCTTTAGAGTTTTCCATTATTACTATTTCTCAACTTTCCTTTCTTTTATGGGGTTTTGGGGTTTTGGGGTTTTGGGGTTTTGGGG